TCAAAATAATTTGAATAATTTTTGAAATTTTTAAAGAAGAACGAAATTTTTCCTTCAACTTTGACCCTATATTTTTGAAATTAAGTTGTTTTAGATTCACTATTTGAAGTTTTCGTCTGGAATTTGGGTGACAAATCATCCCTTAAAATCTTTTAGCGTACTAACAATTAATATATACCCTGTATACTTGTATACTCCCATATACTTGTTCAGTAAAAAAATCTGAAGTTTCAAATTGTTTATCTTGGTTTTAAAAAACTGAAAATTTAATGAAAAATTTCTGTTTGAATTGATCTTGTTTTGATTTTGGAAATCTTAACTAATGTCGAATTGTCTGATTGTGCTTCTTCTCATATTGCATAACTTTTATTTACATTATCCGAAATATTTTTTATAAAATAAAATCCCAATAAAATAAACCTAATAAATAAAAGATCTATATTATATAAAATGCATTTGTCTTATATTTTAAGTTAATAGTAAGATGTAACAATTAAACTTAAACCTTTTAAAATAAGGTCTTTATTATTATTTATGCTTATTAATAATTTATAGTCTATGTAATAAAATATTAATTAATTATGTTACAGAAAACACTAACATCGAAATTGGGGAACAACCGCAACAATTACATCAACAGCAACAACATCAACAACAATATGGAGAAGTAAATCAATTAGGCGGTGTATTCGTTAATGGAAGACCACTTCCCAATGCAGTCAGATTGAGAATAGTGGAGCTTGCACAATTAGGAATCAGACCATGTGATATCTCACGTCAATTACGTGTTAGTCACGGATGTGTCAGTAAAATATTGGCTCGGTATCACGAAACGGGTAGTATTCTACCAGGCGCAATTGGTGGCAGCAAGCCACGTGTGACTACACCAAAAGTTGTGCAGTACATAAAGCAATTGAAATTAAAAGATCCAGGGATTTTTGCATGGGAGATCAGAGATCGATTATTGTCTGATGGCATTTGCGACAAATATAACGTCCCATCAGTATCCAGTATATCAAGAATATTAAGAAATAAAGTTGGCACAACAACAACTATGCATCATTCACATCATTCAGCTCATCATCATCATCATCATCATCATTTTTATGCAGCTGCAGCAGCGGCTAGTGCAGCTCTTTGTCCAGTGCCGTATCCACCGACATCTTATCATCCGACAGCGCCGCCTTCCATTCCACATCATCATCATCAAGGTTAGTACTTTATGTAACTTTTAGTAATTTAAATATAAAAATTAAATATAGGAATAAGAGCTTCTTTTTCGACTTTTTCTTCTTTTTTTACGTTTTTATTAATTTCTTTCTTATCAATTGAAACATTAGATATAATATTTATTATATAATCATTAAAAACATTAGATATAATTTATAATTCAAATGTTCAATTCGCATAAAATTTGATATATACCATTACATATCTCCATTACATATTGTAATAAAATGTATGAAAAAAACCTTACATTCTGAAATAAAAATATTAAAAAATAATTATATTCATATGTGCAAGTTATAATATTACTGCAGCATTACTACTTAAGAACATTACATTTAGGAAATATTTAATGTAAATTAGAATTAATTTTCTTTTATGAATATTAAAGTAATTTGTAACTCATCTTTCTAACATTACACATCTTTATTATTAATACTTAAAATCAAAGGAGGATGTAAAAATAACCAAAATTGGCCCTGAATAGACACTTTTAAAATCTATGCAGTTGTCATTTTGGAAGTTCGTACATTTATGAAAGAATGCTTATTTATCCAGAAAAACTTGGAGAATCTTCAAAAATAATAAAATCGGTCATTTAAACACTCTGCAAAGAAACTTATCTTGTGTCTAATGAACGATGATAGATTTTGAAATTAATAGTTTTTTTACATT